TAGCTTGGTTGCTCTTGGGGTCTTCTTTGTTGCTAAGTTGAGTAATTTAAGGTGTGCATGATGGTGCTATTATTCAAGTAAAATAAGGTGTTGCTAAGTTGAGTTTAAAAAAAGGTGTGCGTGATGGTGCTATTTTCGTAAAAGGCGTTGCTAAGTTGAGTAAGAAGTGTGCATGATGTTGCTCAATTTAAAATAGGTGTTGCTAAGTTACTTAAGTTGAGGAATGCCGTCAAAGTACTGTCTGGTCAGCGTTGAGACCCTTCATTGGTTTGAGGTCCTGAAACATTCCAATGGCAATGAATCTGGTCCTGACCGTGTGACCAGTTAAGGATTGTTAATTTATCTATCAAAACAATCCACCTGAGTCATTCACATCCATGTGTTGACAGATCTGGTAATTGGTCCTACTATTTGACATAATATGACATATATGTTCTTTTCAGAACATAGTGTTGCCCAACTTTCCAGGTGATACCCGTGCATTGACAGTTTACAGAAAGAATAACCCCAAGCATAGTAGCAGCAAGGTCGCCCACCCCAGATGTCTTTTTTTGAACGAAAACACGTGTGGGGATTGTGATGAGTCCGAGACTGCGGTGATAAGTCCAACTTCGACACCTTGACTCATTGCAACCTGCTGGCGCCTCGGCAGGTTTTTTGGTTCAGAGAGTTTTGTCACCGCCGCGGCTGCATCCTGTGTACCTTGCCATGGAATCGTAGCCTCTCACCCTAATGGCCATCGACGATGTTGAAGGACATGTTGGACTTGTCTACGGACAGGTCTGATTAAGATCCAAGGTCCACGGACCAAATTGAATGAACCTCTAAGGAGGTATTGACGACAATGTCCACGGACATAATAACATTATAGTCTGTCTAAGGACAGATCTGCGCTTGTCTACGGACAGTCTACAGACACCTCAGGAAAATGTCTACGGACTCACTTGTCTCGGTAATGTCTACGGACACTCATCATCCCATGACAGCGTCTACGGACAATGTGACTGTCTACGGACATGTGTGTTTCAAGTCAGCTCACTCTCGAACAATTTGCTGCTGTATTTAGATGAGATCAGTACTTTGGAAAAAAGGCGTCGATGTGCGCTGCCAGCCACTACTAATGTCGCAGTTGAGGGTCGTCGCCGAAAGCATTGACAATTCAATTGTAACTTTCTGTCAGGGGCTGAAGGGCTTGCAATCGCGCAACACAAGCAGTGATTTGAAAATGATTTTCGCATCCGCCAAAGCCACACTGATGACCAATAATTAAGCATCCTAGTATCCTGTCAGAATCAGATGCAATGTGCAAGTTCGTCGCTCTCCAGGGTTTCCTTCTTCGCGCCATGGGAGACTCTCGCGACAAGTTGAAGCACTTGATTCCAGGTAAGCTTGTCACTGAACACACCCAGACTTGCAAGCTAGGAGTGCACAAGTGCAGCTTGTGCGCCGTGCAGCAGGCATGGTCGCTTTACAAGAAGCCATGGCTGAGAGTGCTCTTGGTGGAAGGGGAGTCCAAGCTCGGCTGCAGCTTCTGCGCAAAAGCCGGTCTGGAGGGGCCATGGGCCAACTTTGAACAGCTTCCGAGTGCCGTGCTGAAGAAGTTCAACTTAGAGAGGCATGAGAAATCCAAGGGACACATGACAGCAAGTCAAGATGATAGTCTTGGCGCCGCCCCTAGCGAAGAGACTTTCAAGTCAAGTTTGCAGGCTATGACCCAAGGACAATCTGCGAGACAAGGTGGCGGATCGTCGGACAAGAAAAGTCAAGTGCGGTATGCCCTGTCGGAAGCAGTTTGCGCTCGCAACAGGACTTTGCTGGCAGACTCTCGCTGCATCTCTCTGATGAGAGACGAACGCAAAGGAAGACTTCTTGTGCGCTTCCGCGCTGTTCTACAGGATTTAACCACCATCAGTGGCGCGCTTGGCTTGCTGCCTGTGACAGGTTCTGCTGAGTCCATAGCTGAAACAATTGCTGAAATCATGCAGAACTTCTGTGTACCAATGCGGCAACCGCCCAGACAAAGCAAGGTAAGTGAGCAGCCAGTTGACTTAGAACTTCTACGGAAGATTCAGGACAGGGTCACCATGGTGGCCAGCGACGCTGCCGCCGCCGAACTTTTGGCGGGTGACTTAGAGAGAGGGCGCCGCGCGGCCGCGACCGACTTTCAATCCAACTTTCGGAATTGCAAGGTCGTCGGCAGGGACGCGGCGCATGCGTCCACCCGGCTCCTGAAGCGACCGTTCCTGGCGCTCTCACCTGTCAAAATCTTGGTTGACGAATGGATCCATGGGTCTGAAAGCTTCGCTCAGAAGATACACCACAGCCAGATTCTCAGCCAGTGGTGGGCCAAGGCCGTCCAACGCCAAGAGGATTCCGACTTGAGTGGAAATGCCTGCACCTCCATCAGTGCGGCCAAACATAGGTTCTCGTCGTATCTGAACCCGCTGAGCCGTATAATTCGGAACATGCAAGCAGCTTTCAATGTGTGCGGTAGGGTCCAAGCCATGCGAGGTGCCGAGGCCACTTGGGCAAGCAAGCTCTGCCAAAATTTCACTTCGTTCAAAGCAGCTTTGCTTGCAATGATTACCGACGCTGCAGCTATCAGCGACGACTACACCAGGGGATGTGACCGTGAAGACACTGACGTTGCTGATTTGAACTTACGCGCCAGCCATTTCGTCCTCTCGGCGAGGTCTCTCTTCGTCGACCGGAAGGTGTTGACACTACCCACTTTCACGAAAGAATTCTTGGATAGAAAAAGTCCAGTGACCATTATTCAGGATGGATGTGCCTTGGAAATCAAAGTTTCGCGCCGAGACTTGGACAGGGCTTTTGCAATCATGGAGGACCCGGCGCTTGAGCCGAGCTTTGTTTGGGGGGCGCGAGGTTGAGTGCCATTCTTTTTTAAACGACAAAATCATATACTTTAAATAATAATAGACAATTTTGTCGTAGTTGCAGCCTGCTGCAGGAATGGGTGGCTCTTGTGGAGGAAGTGGTGGCGCATGAGTTTCCGAGTTGGCACTTGGCGGC